GGAATTTACTTTCCATGGTGGGAACTAGTACTAGCACTCTATCCCCAGGGTTGAAGGTACGGATCCTGGCACCCCGGTTATAAACCCTTTTCTAGGCTTCCTGGGCTTGCTCCATGTGCTCCCGTACAAGTGGCATAACAGCTGCGATTCTATCCTGCATCTGTGAAATATGCTAGATGCTTCTATAGGGCGTGGTCTCTCCCTCCCAGGTTTCTTTTGCGACATCTAGCAACCCCCTGGGATGTCTACCATACAGTAGTTCAAAAAGCGAGTACCCTGTAGACGCCTGAGGTACTTCTCGTATAGCAAACATGAGGTACGGCAACAAAAAAATCCCAATTTCTCCCATCCTTGTCCACCACCTTTTTTAACATTCTTAAGAGTCTTGTTAAATCTCTCCACAAGCCTGTCGGTTTGGGGGTGATAGACCGAGGTATGGAGATGGGAGATTTTGAACAGCTTGCATAATTCTTTCATGACTCTGGACATAAATGGCGTGCCCTGATCCGTTAGTATTTCTTTTGAAATACCTACACGACTAAATACCCGGACAAGCTCTTGGCGATAGTCTTAGCAGAGGTATTACGCAAGGGAATGGCTTCTGGATATCGGGTGGCATAGTCAAGTATCACCAGTATGTGCTGATGGCCCCGGGCAGACTTTACTACTGGACCCACTAGATCCATGCCCACTTTTTCAAAAGGTACTTCAATTATGGGTAAAAGTACCAGTGGACTGCGAAAATGGGGAGAAGGTGCAGAATATTGACATTCTGGGCACGAATCACAATACACTTTGACATCTGCATGTACGGCTGGCCAAAAGCATCTCTTGGTTATTCTCTCCTTAGTTTTCTCCCCATTATACCCATTGCACCCATTATATGCCCATGGGCTAAATCTAGTACCATCCGGCGAAAGGGTTTGGGGACCACTAACTGTTCTACCACCTCCTCCCCTTGCTTTACCACTTGATACAGCAAGTTATTTTTAAGAGCCATGTAGGGAAAAGACACCCTACATCATTTTCAACTGGTTCCCCATCAATCATTTTAAAGTTTTCTCGGGCTCTATTAAGTGTGGAATCTTTCAGCTGTTCCGTACAAATATCCTCCTTTCTGACCTCTAGGTCAGGCACCACATTCTGTCCACTCACATTAGAGCCAGAGATAATCTCTTGTTCAGTATCCTCAATGTGTGGGTTGGGATCCAACTCCTCCTGCTCCCTAGCCATTACAGAGAAAGGGAAAAGATCTACGCCTTCCTCGGACACACCAACAGTTTCCACTTCCACTTTGCAGTCAAAGGGGTCAGGAGTTTCAGGTGTTTCCCCAGCAGGGGGAGCTCGGTCCTCCTGACTCCTCTTCTTGTCCCATAACCTCCAGAAATGGGGAAAATCTCTCCCCACTATGGCTTCATGAAGCAGGGAGGGCACCACTCCCACTGAATGGGCCCCAGGGAGTATGAATCTCAACCATAGCAGTCTGGTAATTACGTGTATCACCATGAATACAAATAACCCCAATAGTGTTAGGGTGCAACCTTGCAGGGTTTACCAAATCACTTTTGACTAAGGTCACAACACTACCAGAGAGTCTAGCAGAGCAGTTACTGGCTTTTAATCGCAATCACACACATTTGCTTTTCGATGCGTTTCTGACATGCTGCTGTACATACCACCTGTGCAAAAAGACATGCGTTTCCCTAAATAAGCATTTTCACATTGCATAGGTTCATCATTTATAGGACAGTTTGCAGCAATATGACCTAACGCATGACAACATTTTATATGTTCTATACCCAGACCTCTAAACAGCTTCAGGGACCTTCCTGACCTATTTGGCCAGTCTCTAGGTCCTGAGCCCACAGTCTCATTGTCTGAAACAATAGTCTTGTCATTTTTCCCTGAGCCCTTGACTCCTGAAATAGTCTTACCGGATCCTCCGGATAGTTTTCCACCCCTAGCGACATTGGGGTATGGCCCACATGAATGCAACAAGTCCTCAGCGGCTGTATATCTCTCCACTAGGTCCACCAGCTCGTTTGCAGACTTAGGGTCTCCATGGCCGACCCACTTCCTCAAAGTGGCAGGGAGCGCACGTAGATACCGATCCATGACCACACGCTCCACAACCTGAGGGGCTGACAATACCTCTGGCTGGAGCCACTTCCTGGTGAAATGTATCAAGTCAAACATCTGGAGAGGGGTGGCTTGTCAGTATTATAATGCCACTGATGCATGCATTACTTCCTCCATCTTCCCACTTGCTCAGGAAGTTGCCTGCCAACATCCACCATATGTGGGGGTAGCTCAGGTGGAGGATCTCCTTCCCTGGGAAAAAGGTAGACCTCACAGCAGGCTCTCTTAAAAATCTGACTGGCTGTCAGTTTTTATTTAAAAGGTTTGCAAAATATCAAAACAAACAAAACATCAAAATAAACCCTTGCCATCCAGGCAATAACTGAACATAGAACTTTTCCTCTCTCACTGCTGAAGGGCTTCCCCCTGTCACCTACAAAACCATAAGCAAACCTTTTCTCTTGTTTGTATAACAATCACTTTCATGCACAGCTCTCTGAGTCCCAGGCCACGAGCAACTCTTTGGTCCAGCCCTGCCTTAATTATAGCAGCTGTTGGTGGTCATCAGTGGACCACAAAATCAGGTCTGGAACCACCTCTGACATAGTGGCCCAGAAAACCCGGAGTGGATTTAACCTTAAACTCCCAAGTATGCCCGAATGCGAGGTGACACATAGCGTCCATCGATCACCTCGCCGTTCATACTGTCCAAATATACACACCTTTTGTATACGTGTACTTGGGAAAGCTCTGACTGTAGATGATTGGCCCAGTACAGGTGGGCTTGCTCAGGTGGGTTTGAACTATGATCCTAACACACTCTCTAGTCACAATGCAAATATACAGGTATATTAGTATATTTGAGGTTGCAGGGTATAACCCTCACATACCAGGCATTGCATTGCTGTATAACATTTCTCAATGTTCCCTATAAGATTGCAAATCTCTTGGCATTCAGTTGCAGTTTATATGTTATAGATGTTTCAACGTGTTTGTAATGCTAGAATTGTTTTTACTATACTTCTTCTTTAAAGCTTATTATTCTAAAGACACATCATACATTGGATAGCTGTGATTGGTTGTGCCTGTTGCTAGAGATACCAAAACTGCTGTCGTGCCAGCTCTATGTTCTGCTCACCTATATGGGCTGATTTCTGTGTAATTGTATTATTAGCTGTGAACTTGCTCATTTTGGTAGAAGTGAATTTTCAGAAGGCTTTTATGTGTACATATTTCAAACCACCTGAGTTTTATGAGAGCGGTTTGGCATTAGCCCAGGATTGCTGAAGGATAGGATTTTTTTTTTCTAGACACCCCACTTTGCATGTAAAGCATAGTGCTTGTAGCAGCTTATTCATGATATGACATGAAATATCATATGAAGTAATACTTGAAACTAGAATTTGTATTACATTGGCATTTTTTTTCATAAAATACCTAAGCACATGGGATGGTAGGTAGAATTTTTTTTTTTATTATTTTTTAATGCAAACTTTCTTGTTAATTGCTTTAATGTATGTCATCATCTGTCATTACATATTGGCTTGCCCAATGCAAACAATAATCTTGGAAAAAAGACATATTGCACTGTATTGGCATTTCTCCATAGTTCACTGATGTTGGCTCTCAGGCACAGACTGGCAATCTGACAACTGTGGTGTCTGCTAGTTGCATGGTGTATATGTGTGTGTGTGTTGTTGTTTTTTTTTTTTTTTTTTTTTTTTTTTTGTGTTTTTTGGAGCTGGTATGCTAGATTTAACTTTAAAAACTAACGCCTATTTAGCCCAGTTTTAATAAATTAGGTAATTTAAATTACAACTCCAGGCAACAAGTGAAAGCCCTTGGTAAGCAGTTAATGCTATCCAGTAAACCCAGCAACTGCTCGAAAGAGCAGGGCCCTCAATCCCCCTCATGTTTTGCATTGTATTGGTATTGTTCTGTCACATGTTCTGTCCCCCTTTGTAATGTACAGCGCTGAGTGAACTATTGGCGCTTTATAAATACTGTATAATAATAATAATAATAATAATAACTGCTAAAAAGTTCACTACATTAAATGTTTACATGAATCAAATTTTTTTTCTGTAATTTCGAAGCCTATGCTTTGTAATTTCTATCCCTCTGATCCCTACAGCACAACTCACATTAAAAAAACACATTAAAGTATCCAAAAAGAAAAAAAAAATTGCCTTTATTTATAGAGTGGACAGGGATTAGACAACCAGTCAGGTTTTTATTTCTCTATGTGCCCCAGTTAAGGAGATTCACCCTCTCTATTTGTCCTGCTTACCATTATCATTGAAAGTGAAAGTAATAGAAAATCCCAAATTTTAGATTGTCCCCAGAAAAGTAATAGAGGGCAAATTTTCCAATGTGGACACTAGTTTTGGTGAACTGGGTGTCCCCAAGGAATTCCTTTTGATTTTCAGGGAGTTTCTCTCACTTCCTGTTTGGCTATGGCAGGGCTCAAAATTTCAAGTCCTGAACTGCTAGCCAGGCCTTAAGAGTTACTCGCCTCCAGTTGCCCCACCCAACCCTTACCCATGCCTCGTTCCTAAAAAAACGCCCTTGTAAATTATCTCATGAAATTACACTGTTACATGTTACCCACGGTACATCAGGGTCCCCAGAGTCCCCCCACATTACATCAGGGTCCCCAGAGTCCCCCCACATTACATCAGGGTCCCCAGAGTCCCCTCATGTTACACTGGGGCCTCCAATGTCCCCTAAACACTCCATCATACTTAGACCATGCACTGCATACAACCATATCCCCCTATAATCTATCACTCACAAAACCATAACTCTACCAAGCATATCCTATCTTCTCTCCAACCGAGCAGTACCTCAAATGCCCCATACTCCAATACCCATAATAATCACATCATCCTGAACCTGACCAAACCAGCCATATATGTATGTTTACACATAGACACGTGTGTATACACACACACACACACACAACACACACACACATGTACACACATGCACAGAGACACACATGTACATACACACCACAGGTACACGTACATTCACACATATACACACAGGCACATGTACATACACTCAGACACACACATACAGATACATACACACACATGTACATATACACACATGTACATACACATAGATACACAAAGACACATGTACCTACACACAGACGCACACATGTACATACACACACACACATGCCCACATACAGACACATACACACAGACACATGTACATACATACACACAGATAGAAACATACACACAGACACATGTACACATACACACAGACAGAAACATACACACAGACACATGTACATACATACACACAGACAGAAACATACACACAGACACATGTACATGCACACACAGACAGAAACATACACAAACCGATACATACACCTACAGCCCTATAAAAAGTTGCAGTACTTCCTTACCTTCACACACAGTTCCGGGTACTGCACTCTAGGGGGAGGCAGAGAGCACAGCACACACTCCTTCCTTTGCTTTCACTGCGCTCAGCTATTGAGCAGTCTGATGGCTTCCAGTGCGAGTGAGAGAGCCGGCCTGAGCACAGAGCCTGCTCAGCAAGACGGCCCTGGGGGCACACTCGCCCCCACCATAATTTCCACTTGCCAATGCAAGCAGGCGAGTGCAAATTTCAAGGCCTGGGCTATGGGACAGGAAGTGAAGGGAAATCTCTGCAATGGGACACAGATGGGTTACAACTCTCCTTTGCTTAACCCAAAAGGAAAAAAAAAAGTTTTGCCTAGTGCTACTTTAAGGAGAGGTTTGAATCTGATTGAGAGCTGTGGGAAAACCGTATCAGAGGTCACAAAGTGGATGTTCCCAGACCACCAGATGACCGCAAAACATGTGTGCTAAACAGGTGCAGGACAGCAATTTCTTCATTAAAAGCTAATCGACTCAGCAGGTAGTCTGCACACTACATGTCTATTTTAAAGCTGCAATTTAAATTTTGATTTGTGTGTGCCTGTTTTGAAAGTTGATAAAGGGGGGGCTGCATTTAAATTTTATTCCCCTACGTTAACACATTTGGTCTCTGTAACTCTGACTTGTAATTTTCAGTGGATTCAGTTGGTGTTGTTGTGCATGCAGAAGAAGCTGCGACTCTATCACCACATTTTGGGGTCATTGCAGGAAATGCAGCTTTATATTCATTTATGTTTTCCTACTATTAACCATTGAGAGCCTTTTAATCTGACAATGCAGATTCAATCATTTTTTATTTGTGCAGAGCCAGCACACTTTGTGGAAGAGTAGCTGTACTGTTGCATTTGTTTATTTTTGTTTAAAGAGGTGATTGGTGGGATTGAATATGTGATGGCAGGCTTGGAGAGACAGTAGTAAATTCTGACATTGGATCTAACCCAGCCCACTTTATCCAAACCAAAAAAGAAAAGACCAATGGTCAGAGGTGTACAGCTGTAGTAACAGTTTTGCTGTGGCAACAAAAGGGTTTAAATACTTACTATTTGTTCTAATGCTTTATGTGTTGTATGTTTTCATGATTGACTGCAGTATTGTTTCTATAGCAGCACTTTGAAAAGAATATTGGTTGGTCCAAAGCATATTTTGGTGAAGTAAGGTGGTTAGATTAGGTCGGCTTGTATAAATTCTGAATTGAAATACATTCAGGTTGATAGTGCTGATTATGCAAATGATGAAGCCTAGTTTTTACAAGGGATCTATGAGGCTCTCAAATACCAAAGGTACACTTGGCAATGTAGTATTTTGTGGCAATCTGAAACTAGAAGCTGGATCATTTAAATAGCTTGGGAGGGCTTGTTTTCACTGATCATAGATAAAATAACCAAAAGCCAAGACCGTAAAAATTTACACTGAGCCCTGGGCGTTTCATTGTGGTATTGACACCGTTATTTCTGTAGCTATGGAAAGAGAAATCAGGATTTATTGCTTGTTTTTTTATTGTAAATTTCTTTTTATTTAAGTTTGTGCACAAATTAAAACAAGATAGCAAAAGGGTGCATACAAAATAAATGACATGCTAACCACTGTAATGAAGGTGCCACGGCCCACAAGTTGAAACATAAAGTTGGAACCTGTCATTTAAACCCCCATTCCCAAGCTGGTCCCTTCAAAAGGTAAACATTGCAGAGATGGAATCCCAGAGCCCACATATGACTAGTTGTTTGGTACCCCATCCCCCAAAACATCAAAGCATTAGGCTAAGTGGATAAACATCTCAGGCAGAAGGCATAGTAGGTTTATCAAACTCCTCAAAAATATCATTTAACCTGTGCAGACAGATAAGACTGGTAAGCAGCACATAAACTCTGCATCCTTTAAAACAGTGCAAGTAGGTGTTCCATGGCCCCATGGTAGGTATTGGCAGATAAAGCAGACAACCAAGCCTGCCAAGCCTTATCAAATTGTTTGAGCATCCTCTTCTCAAGTATAGTATGTGGCTTAAAAAAAAAAGGTATCCTCTTATTCACCAAACCTTTCACAAGGTGGCGAGTGCAGCTGCTTTTTTCCTAGGTTGCCTAACTAGTGACCCTCTCCAGCACTGTTATCAGTGCTCTCATTGGTCATTGGCACTGCCATCTTCTCTCAGGGTTCTTTCTGCTTCGTTAGCCAGGCTGTGATGACATCACCACAACGCAGAGCCTTGCTGTAAATGTACACTTGAGCTGTGCATCCACAACACAAGCAACACTGACAGGCAAGGAAAACATTTTATGAGAGAAGAGACCAGTTGGTAGTTGGGTCTCTTCTGTCATAAAAAATACACCTGTCAGTTTTTTTTCTTTTTTTATTTAACTCGGCTTTAAATGTGATGGCTGAATTAGTTTTCTTTTTTCTTCTCCATTTTCACCTAGAGATCTGGTAACACTTCCTGTCGTAGAAAGGCTAAACAATGAAGGAGCAATGGAGACACCTTTTGGGCAGTAGCATTTTCAATCTGAGGGGAAGGGTTAAGTGGGTACACACTATGAGAAAATCGGAAGACAAATTCCATACAAGAAATTGCAGTGTAATAAAAGGAAACTAAAGTTCACAGTAGAGTTCTCATACCAACAACTTAATTTTGCCATGAATAGAATTCTACTCCTGACCTCCCTCATGTCAGTAGACAAATGATGATTGGTTTTGGTCACCTAAGAGCATTGTGACAGTTTACCATTAGTAGAAACTGCACATTGTTTCCAGTCAGACAAACCATGTCTGGTAGACTTGTAGTGAGGGGACTTGCAATGCAGATATACTAAGAAAGTTATTAAAGAGGTTATTAAATACATTAACGTGTCACCCAATGTATGGTCTCCATTCAGTAGCCAAAAGAGGCATACAAAAAAGGAGGGTTGTGAAAAGAGATTCACAGAAAAGCGGCTACATAATGAACAGAACGTGACACTAAGGGAATAATTTCCAAAATTTTGCTTTATTACACACAAATGAATATGACATATGGGCATTTGCCCTGGTTTACCATCACCTCAGTATGAGACAATACACACAGACCTAGGTCTGTGTGTATTGTCTCATACTGAGGTGATGGTAAACCAGGGCAAATGCCCATATGTCATATTCATTTGTGTGTAATAAAGCAAAATTTTGGAAATTATTCCCTTAGTGTCACGTTCTGTTCATTATGTAGCCGCTTTTCTGTGAATCTCTTTTCACAACCCTCCTTTTTTGACTTGCAATGCAGAACCTGGAAGTGGAGTCTGAATATGTAGAGAGAAAATGTGACAACCCCCTTTCACATTTATAGTGCAAGCTATACATAGTAACAACTGCATTAACATTCATATGAGTTGCATGAAGCTGATGTATTTCACTTTTAAATCTAGAAAGCATTAAAAGGCTTACAGTTCCTCCTTTTTAAGATCAGTGTCTGTCAAAGGTGTAGGTTAATGCAAGGTGAATTGATGAGGACAATGGTGTGTATTTAAAGCACGGGTGTTCTTTGTCATGATGAACGTATTTATTTAAGATATAATAAGCTCCTATAATTTAAGGAAATTGTGCTTAAAGTGGAGTTCCCCCTGGGAAAAAAAAAAAAAGTTAGAAGCTACAAAAATTGTAGCTGCTGACTTTTAAAATACAGCCACTTACCTGTTCCTCAGTCCAGCGGTGTCCTCACCACCGCTGGTTTCACTGGCTGTCTCCTCTCCCTGCTCCCTGGTGCCAGCATCTGCAGTGTTGGCACCCGGCTGTGACAGCTTGCAGCTTCACAGCCAGGTGCCCACTTCGCATGTGTGAGAAGCGCTGCAATTTGTGAATGGCCCCATAGTCTGTCGCGTGTCCCAGAAGGACAACCTCCGCTTCCTATCGACCTAGGCAATCAAAGCGAAAGTGAGAGCGGGTACCTGCTCTTTCCCCACTCCCCAAAGGTGCCGATCCTTAATGGTGAGTGGGGGACAAAGGCTTAAAGTGGAACATCCCCTTTTGGGTGGAGCTCCGCTTTAAGGCTAGGTTCACAGTATGAATCACAGTTGGCAAGGGCAGTGCGTTTTGAACACCGTGCAGGAGTTGTGCACAGATCGCGGGTTTCCCCGCACTGCATTCAAGAGTGAACCGGAGCATAGCAATCTTCTTTTTAATTTTTTATGGAATCTTTTTATGAATAATGGACAATTTACTGCAGTGCTCAGGGGATTAGTGTAGCAAAAGTTGCATCACAGGCACATGAACCAAAAAAAAATCATAATTTACATCGTCACTTCACAGGAAAGCATTGAATAAACAAGGAAAAATAAACCTTAGCAAGAATGGTAAATGAAGCAGAGTCAACAGCCACCACGTGACATGCAAATAAGGTGCAGCTGATGTGTTGAAACAAAATCTGTATAGCCTGTTTGTAGAAGCCTGTAAAATTTAACTCTGTTTTCAGTTGGTATTCTTTTTTCGTGTTGCTATTATGCGACATAAGCTGTAATGTGGTAATGTAACTTCAAAAATGGTTTTGTCTTTTTAAGAGAAGTTTAGGAATTTACAAAAGTCATACTCCTCTAGGTGGTTGCAGTATCAATCCATGCATCATATGTCCCCTGCCAGCTCTCAGACTGAGAACTGAATGATCAAAGACTGCTGATTGCTCAGTTCTCAGTGTTCACTAAGCAGAGATCCGGGGACTGACTAACTCTGCTCTGCCCCTGCAGCTGTTACTGGAATGCTGGGCTGTGGAGGTGGCCGGAGCAGCTGGCTCAGGTTCTCATCGGCTCGCTGAGAGGCCGAGCCATCTGCCGGTCCTGGCATCTGGGTGGATCCTGGATGTCGGAATATTTCCTGAGCCTGGACTGACTGCGTGACATCTGCCAACAGCAGACTTTAGCCCGCTGAAGGCTGAAAATGCGTCACAGGAGTGCAGAACGAAGTGCACTCCTGTGACCTATAGGTGAAGTGTAGCCAAAAAAGCTTTAGCCATACTACTACTTTAAATATGCAGATTTCTTTAAAAAAAAGTGAATGCTCCTCCCATGAATGTTCATGTTTATGCACTTCTGTTATAAGGTTCCATCCCAACTGCGCTTTGTGTTTTTTGCCAACGCACATTGCACAGGCATGGCGCCTTTGCAGTGTCAGAAATCCAGTCAAGAGCTAACGCTGAAGCTTAAGTGCTTGTAGAAGCAAGTGTTTGAAAAAGGCTGCAGGCAATCGGCAACAAAAAAAGGAGAAATTAGGTGAAAAGGGGT